GGGTTACACCACCAGTCAACGCCACGGCATGTTTCATTGAATACAGGAGTTAAGCTATCTGATTAATAGTGTCCGAATAATAAACGTTCCGATTTCAGGCAGATCTTCACACAGCCTTTAAAGCTGGAATTGTTCTAAGGAATTTTGCTGCAAGTTATTGTTACGTCTAATGCAGAGTATGTTAGGTCCTTTTTAATCCCAAAAATTTTTTTCTAGACTTAGAATTTTACGTTAAGTTGGGAAAATTTTCATTTTAGCGTAAGATGCTTTCTTCTTTTCAATCCTACCTTTGGTCAGCGATCTGATTGGATAAATGGTTCTGATTTCGCGTCGGTGTTGTATTGTAGAATATCCGAGCCTAGGTATGAGGTAGGCAGGTACAACAGAACAAGCCTTTTTGACCGATCACAAGACGTCATCCATCCGAGTCTACCACACTGGCCACAGCGCTCGTTTTCTACTGCTTCTCATTCGTGTCTTTTTCTGGTTGGCTGCCTATCTTCCTCGTATGACATTGGCTGAATCCAGGTGGTCCAATATACCCGTCGCTACACTGCCTCCCCCTTAGGAGTGAAGCTGTCCTTAGCTTCTGTCTTGGTTCTTCGCAATGTTCAAGATTGTTCAAATATTCAGTTCGACATTGCTTTAAACTCTACATCTGGCAGGATAGTGGCTCAAGCGAATAGTTGACGTGGGACTTTGCTCTTGTAGACTCGCAGGAAGGCCACTTCATTCATCGCAGGTTCTTTCTCCACTTGTTGACCAACTGACTTCTACTGTCCTTTTCGTCGTCACTGAGACGCCAATGCTTCTAAAGATGCAGTTGTCATAATCCTGGGCAATGTCTATGGATCCAGTGTGTGGGAAATCGGATGACTGCCATGACAACTTCAGCTTTCATTTAATGGTCGTTGCCTCATTTATCAATTTTAGGGAAAGGGCTGGGGTTCACTTCGATTTATTTGAATGCTTCTGCTGCCACTAATGTGGAGTACCCTAGCCCAAGTATGAATAAGACTGGTACAACAGATAAGGCTTTATTGACCAATCACAAATCAGAACCACAAGTCAGGCGCCGTCCATCCGAGTCCACCACGCTGGCTACGCTGCTCATTATACACTACTTTTCCTCCGTGACTTTCTCTGGTTGGCTACTTACCTTATTCCCATGCCATTTGAACTCAGAGAGACAGAAGATTGGCTGAGGCCAGCGTGGATCAATACGTCTGCGAAACAGACGTCGCCGCACCACAACACTACAGTGTAGAATACACGAGACCTAGTATGAAGAAGGCTGTTACAACAGAACAGGCTTTATTGACCAATCACAAGCCAGAACCACACGTCAGGCGTCTTTCATCCGAGTCCACGACGCTGGCCACGCCACTCAATATATAGTGCTCCTCATTCGTGTCTTTCTATGGTTGGCTACATCTCTTCCTCGAATGCCATTAGATCGCAGTAAGACAGAGGATTGGATGAGGCCAGTGTCCAAAATGTCAGCGACCTCAGGCGTCGCCACCGTAGAGTTTCGTCCCATGGTATGGTCAAGAAGAAAGAGAGAGTAAGGCAAAAAAGAGTACTTAAATGAAGGCTGAAACAAGCCACAATCTAGTCACAAACAGGTCGGGCGTAAGGGGGAAAACAGGGTCTTTATATGTCCCTGTTCTCGTGTCCTGTTCTCCCATTGGTCCGTTCTGCAGCGCTGCAATGGAGACAAAAACTCGTGAGCCGATTGGGTCACAGTCCCCGGCGCGTCATTCAATGCCCGGGTGACGCAACACAGCCGGAAGTCGCACAACCAGTCACATGACGTCGCCACCACGGCGTGCTTCTCACCTTCCACCAATGGATTAACACCAATATGGCTGCTATTTGTTACGCCGCTACAACACACTGCCTCCCCATAAGGAGCGAAGCTGTCCCAGCTTCAGGCTTTATTCAGCGCACTGTTCGTGATTGTTAAAATATCCAATTCGACACTCACCGCACCCCAAATCTGGCAGGATTATGGCCCAAGCGAATAGTTGACGAGGGATTTTGCTCTTGTAGACTTGCGGGAAGGCCATCTGTCGTAGGTTCCTTCACACTTGCAGTCCAGCTGGCTTCTACTGTCCATGTCATCGTCGCTGAGTTGTCAATGCCTCTTCAGATGCAGTAGTCCTAATCCCGGGCAATGTCTATGGAACCAGTTTATTAGACATCGGATGAACGCCATGACAATTTCAGCTGGCATTTAAGGGTCTTTGCCTATGTTGACCATAGAAGAGAAAGAGCTGGGGTTCGACTTGCGTTTTTCGAACGCATCCCACCGCTGCCACCAGTGTAGAATACCTGAGCCCTAATAGGAAAAAGACCGGTACAACAGAACAGGCTTCATTGACCAATCACAAGCCAGAGCCACGCGTCAGGTGCCTTCCATCCGAGTCCGCCACGCTGGCCACGCCGCTCATTATATACTGCATCTCAGTCGTGTCCTCTGGTTGGCTGCTTATCTTCCTCGCATGCCATTGGAACGCAGAGGGACACAGGATTGGCTGAGGCCAGCGTGGTCCAATATGTCTGCGCCCTAGTCCGACGCCCATGTAGAATACCCGAGCCCTAATAGGTAAAAGACTGGTACAACAGAACAGGCTTTATTGACCAATCAGAAGCCAGAGCTACGCGTCAGGCGCCTTCCATCCGAGTCTACCACGCTGGCCACGCCGCTCATTGTATACTGCATCTCATCCATGTCCTTCTCTGGTTGACTGCCTTCCTTTCCCGCATGCCATTGGATCGCAGAGAGACACGGGATTGGCTGAGGCCAGGTGGTCCAATATGTCTGCGCCCCGATCCGACGCCACACCCACCACAACAGCATTAGTCGTGCCTGTGAAGATGAGAGTTAAGAGATCGCGCCAGTTTTCAAAGGTCCTCTCAGTGTATGCCCGATGCTTTGGTCTAG